GAAAGCGTTCATGAAAGATTATTCCAATAAATATGTAAAAAAAAAAAAACCGCCTTGCAACCTGTTGTTTTTTATTTGTCCGAAATTGCTACGCTGTTTTGTATAGGATAATTAGTACGTTAGTCTTGGGATTTGGTGGGCCACTGCACACAGCGTAACTATGGTTTTTTGACGCTCGCCTGGTTTTATATCATGCACCCTTTAATACGGACGAGTACAAATGATACTGCATTTCTAGAAAGGTTCTCTTCCTTTTCCTGTGTGACATAGCGAGGGCAAAACAAATCGTATTATTTTAGAACGGGTTGAATGACGCCTTTACCGGTCGATGAATCGTATAATTTTCATCTTCTCTCACATGAGGTGAGAGAAGACTACCATCATTTCATGTCATTGTTTTCCTCTAGCCTGTGATATATTATTGCGACACAAGCAAGCTGATTTTCATGAAGTTTCAAACCCTAGCTGAATTTTTCTGAATGGATGAGAAAAAAAGCTAAGGACGTTGTTATAGCTACTAGTAACTAGCCCTGGTATAGCCCAACTGAAGAAAAAATCGTAAAGAATCAATTCAACACCGTCACTTGTCTCCGTAAGGTACGGTAAAACTGGCCAAAAAGAAAAACCGAAACGTGTAACTTATTTTGCAACAATGCTGCATAACGAGTTGAATAGCAATGTTGCGTGTTTTACCATCCACGCAAAAAAAACCTTGCAACCTTATTTGTTGCAAGACCCGTTTTAACATGGGGGCTAAAAACATCGCTATTCATCTCGTCTTGCAGCAGCATTGCAAATTATGTACATGTTGGACGTGTTTTGTTGCCCGTTTTACTGTGGCTTAAGGACCTTTAGCGGCGTGCTTTGCGAGTCGTTTCCCTGTAATGGAAACTTACAGACTCATGGTCGCGTGAAAACCAAGAATTCTCCAGTTTAATGATCATGGGGCCAATCGCCTTGCCCTGAGGGTAGCAGGCAGTTATTTTTGGTGTCTTTTTCGTTTGTGGTTCCAGTAGAAAGAGATACGGCCTCATTTGAGCTGAGCCGAGGTTAAACAGGAAAACGAGGAGGGGGAGGGGTACGGGGGAGGAACAAAGCAGAGAGAAAAACCTCGTGTATTCAACCCCAGATTTGATGACCAACACTACAATCCTCCTCAGTTGGCAAATAGCAATTTACAAACATTGAACTATGAATGGGGCTACTTTTAATTCATACTAGGTTTGCTCTGCTTTAAAACCAAAAGGATTATGGACCAAACTTTGAATGCGTGGCTGAATAGTGGGAAGAACTGAAGTTTGTCCAGTTCTCGTTTTTTTTGCATTTTCGGCGCCATTTTGAATACGATATAGGGGCATGTAGGTTAACCAGATGATGCAACTGATGAAACTGATGTCTATAGAGGACGGAGTCATTTGAGTTCGGCGAGGCAATGAATTCGAAATTAGACTGACCCAAAGAATGACTCACAAGGACCCTTAGAGAGAGATTCAGAAGGTATCAGAGCTTAAAAACGTGTGTTACAAAGAAGCCTGAAAACCACCTTACATCATGTGCAGTGTGATGACTATATTTAAAATTGAAGGAATATCTAACGACTACTTTACAACCTTTTCGCGCTATATTCAAACGTTTAAAATACCAAAGATATTTTTATTTCACTTTGGCTTTCTTCACTTACGAATAAGTGACGGTTAACTTCAAAACAGCCCCTTTTTCCGCTAGGTTAACATCGCGCGCTCGAAAGGTCAGAGGAAAGGTGTGGGTCCGGAGCGACCGGAGCAGGGTGAAAACGGAGATTGAGACTGGAGAGAGACAGGGGAACTTGAATTTCTCATCATGTCGAAAGCGCTTGCAATACCTATTGAGAAAAACCCGACTGTTTTGAGGTCTACAGTGACAGAAAAACCTGTATTAACAGCATCCCAAGGGACAAAAGCATCAGTGTGTTCCAAACTTCGTCAAAACTTTTTGGAAAATGAAAATTTTTATGGTTATCCGTGCACAACACAGATTAATTTTACTGTCATTGAAAATATGAAGGATGATGGCTAAATGAGATGTTTACTTACAAAATTAACTTTGTTCAATTTTCCGACAGAATATTGTCTACACAATGCAAACTATGTACTACTGGCTTTTTGTACACAGGTATGCTTAAACAACATTTTCAACAAAATGTTCAACCTTAGTAAAGTAAAGTGTTCATGTTTTAGAAGAGTTCATATATTTATAGTAACAGATGTAGGGATTATTAAAGTACGGCGTTATTATCCAGAACCAAAAAGAGCGTTCCATGATAGCATGAGGTTCTTTCAAAATTTACAATGTGCTCGGATCAGGAGTATTTCAACTGATATAAATTTACATCTTTCTCCTTGATATTAGAGACCTTTAGATTCGAAGACGAGAATGACTACGACGACCAGATTTGTTTCAAATTTTTTTCGCGTATTCTCAAAAATAGACATCTCGAGAGGCTTTTTTGCACTTTTTTACCCAAAAAAGTGATCACAAAATAGAAGAACTTGATAAACGTTTCAGGCGCGGATCCACACCGGTTTCCACTGTTTCACGGAAATCGGTCACATTTTTCATAATAAATATATTTTGAATAATAAAAAACACTTTCAAAGTTGAAATCTGACCAATATCCTGTCTGAATGACTCAAAAACCCAGGAAAGGGGAATTCAAAGAGTGAAAATCCACACAAATTTCCTGGTGGGGAAGCCCGCCTCCTGACCCCGCTAGAAGCCTGCGCTTGTTTAGGAAATTGGCCAGTATTTATTCTAAGCCCCATTCACACCAAAGCTTAAACATGTTTAAAAGCTGCTTAGTTAAACATAGTTTAAAATTGTTTCCGACTTCATAAAAGCTGCTTACTGACTTAAATTGATTGCGAATTAAGTCCCGGTGCAAATAACAAAACTTGTTGAATTCGAATCCTGTGTTGAAACCTCTGTTCCATTTTTCCGTGAATATTTTTCAATTTTTAAAACCTGGTTTAGTTAAACATGTTTAGTTAGTGTGAATGGGGCACTAGATTCGTGCCTGCTTTTTTTCGTCACTACGACGACCACTACGACATTCTCGCTAAAACTATAGTCTATACTAAAACTGATGGTAGAACTACGCCTATCACGTTTTCCCGCCCAAACGACGCTGGCTTACGCGCGAGCACTACTTAGTATTGAGAAAATCTCGTACTCGTAGTCGTACTTGTCTTAGAATTCACGGGTCTCATATTCACGTGGTGACGACACAGTTTTCACTGCGCATTATAATTAGTTTAATATTTTTTGGATGCAACTGCGGCAACAAGTGCTGCCCCTTTTCCAGAACCATCCTCGGACAGCATAAGAGTAACATTGCCTTTTGGTAAAATGTCTCTTAGTGTTTCCTCCATGTACCCCTTAAACTTTGGATGCTTCTTAAACAGGCTGCCATCAACAGCAATAGTAGTGGTATAGTTCCTTGTTTTCTGTTTTTTGAAAAAATAAAAACATTGGGTTTAAACTACTAAATTTCAATGAATCGTATTGACAGCTTAAATGTGTATTTAACTAACGGAAAAAAATTTCTTTACTATGATACAGCAACAAAAAAGAAGTACCAGCATATTTTTTCCTGATAGCATGCACCGTAATCGCTATATGCAGTTGTACATTAAGGAGACAGATATGGCAAAAGATTAACTTTTTGGCAATATATTTAATTCTGCAAATTTAAATGATCAGTGTAATAGAATCAAAAAAACAAAGAAACAAGCAAAGTTGTATTTTGTGCACCCTGTACTCTGAAAAGTGTTTGTTTATGCTGTAGTTAATTTTTTATCTCAGGAAATTTTTATTTTTCCTTTATTTCGACTTCATTAGCGTACATTACCATAACCAAAAACAAAAGCAAAAATCACCTGAGAAAAAAAAATCTACAACATTTATCCCAACATTGTTTAGAGGGGGAGGGGAGGGGAGGGGAGGGCCATTCCAGGCATCCAAACTATATGGTACACTTGCATATTTGATTTGTTAGCGCTGATGAAGGAAGGTTTTCAGTAATGGTTCCAACGATTTTCGGCCTCCATTGTAGCTTCTAACACTCTCTAGCCGTGTCTTTCTCATCAATGACTTTGACACAAAGTTAGGGCTGCACAAAATAATTTACATTAATTGGTACAATGAAGATTAACATAATAATATACCTTGACAATTCCAGCAATTCCTGCAGCAGCTAGCCTGGCAGCTCTGATGGAAACAGCGGTGCAAACTTGTTTTAATATCTCAATATCAGACTCAGATGCATTCACTCCCATTTCATTTATGACCTGATCAATCTTGTACCTGTCATGGCTGTTAAAAAAATGTTACGAAAACATAAATGAGAATTTGCATGGGTATTTCTTTGGAAAAAAAATTGATGATCATTAGTATAATGTAATCAAATGGTGACAAGTAAAATATGGGAATAATTTCACGAGTTTGCCATTTGATTTCATTACACCAGGTCCTATATTAATTTCACTTTACGAGTGTCCATTTTTCTGGGAATTTTACTCCTTGATTTTTCTCAGACAAGATCAGATTAATAAATGTAAAAATTGATTTACATCACCAGTTTTCTTCTCTTCACCTTACCTTTCAATATCTGAAACAAACTTGGTTTGAAAGCTGTCTTTTGTACTGAACTTCCCAGGCTGGCCATTAAAAAGGAGTTTGTTCTGAATAAGCTCCATACAAACAACTCTGGCGATTTCACCAAGGTACATTCCAGATATCATCTTCTCAAATCTGAATGGAGTAACAAAAATTACAGGTGATGAGATGGTGGGCAGGTAGCTCACAAAGTCTCAAGAGTGAACATAACACTTCTCTCTAAGGGCGCTTTCCATTTGCCAGAACTGACCGGCCAGACTATTCTCGTCATTTTTAATCAAAACTATCCAACCAGATCAGTCAAATCCTAAACAGTATGCACGAAGAAGATATTTTTTTAGCAAAACCTGCTGGAAAAAGCCCATTTCATTTGCTAACTGACTGGTCTGGCCAGCCAGTTCTGACAAATGGAAAGTGCCCTAAGAGTCTAACCATGAATTGCGGCTGTCAACTGATGTCTGAATGGTGATGCATCTCTTTGTAAAATGCTTTTACAGGTATTACAAAAATTTATTTTTGACAAAACAGTACAGTGCATCTATAATACTGTTTTTTCTTACGTCAAGGATGGTATTTGGCTACAAGAAAAATACCCAGGAGTTTTCACATGCAAGTTGCATGCAGATCATGTGTTTACCATGTGCATGTCACAGACTGTATCAATGACTGACAAAATAAATACACAACATTTCACATGCAGGTCATACGGAAATCATGTGTTTACCATGTGCATGATAATTAGCTTAACTAAGGCCTGACAAGTGACACGGCCTTGAAACAGGCACATACGACAGATGACATGGTGACAAACAACATAAAGATGGGTTGAACCTGCTTATGTACAGCATTGGGCAAATCACAAATACAATAATAAAATACAGGTGTACAGACAGCAACAACACGCAGAACAACAACATTTAAAATTCAGACTAGGGACAATAATTATGCACTCTACATAATCTGTTACAGGGCAACATTAAATTCAGGTTAAAATTTTTTAACCTAGGTTAAAAAATTTTAACCTGAATTTAGTTTTGACCTGTAACACATTCCCCTTTAGAGGACCTCGTAACTGACAAAATAAAATGAAACAAATGTGACACACTTAAGTATTATCAGGGTGCAAAGAAAGTCAGTTTTACAGCCTGCCATTCGGGCAAGCTGTAGCTAGCATGTACTAGCCCACGAGTCATTTCAACTAGCCCCAAAACCCTTTTTGATTAGCAGGTTTGATTACAATCCTTCTGTAATTTGAATTTCCCCAAAAAATTCACTTGCCTGTTGAGCAAGTTAAGAACAGAATTCACTAGCCCGAAACCAAAATCCACTAGCCCTGGGCTTTCTTTGCACGCTGATTATTAACTTGATTATTAGAGAGATTACGAATCCTATTTATAGCAAAATTTATAGTCAATATTGATCTGAAACAGTCATGAGGGCATAATGGCTAATTATACTCTCTTGATAACACTGAAAAAACTCTGCAGAAACCAGCTTCCAATTAATTTCAAGGGTTTAATTGGTCTAAGAATAACTTTAGTGAAACTCGCATATCCCAAGGGCTAGACCGGGTGTTTACCTCTCTCTCTCATAATTCTCTCTTGACATTATACACATTGCACAAAACTATTAGCAAGTTTCATGACAGGGTTTATTGTTAAGAATTGTTTATTAAAAAATTTTTATCTGCTCATTTCCTAATTTGAGAACTTGTCAACTTGAATCTGATGTTTGTTCTCAGCTGCCATAAACATGATGAACTCTTTAATTGATATCTCTGGATCACTGGTAGAATTTGTAAAACAGTGCATTTTTTTGTCTCAGTTGTTATAATCTTTAAACTGTAGCTTTATCACAACAAATGATAATCGGTTTATCAATAAACGGATGCTCGAACTCAAAAAAAAATGTTTGTTGAGAGAAAACAAAATTAATTGGTCCAAAAGTTTGGACTGTGGCATCTTCAAAGGCTTGCTGAGATTTAGGCAGAGCATCATTTTCTCGTCCTTGATTGAAAAAAGTCAAAAAGTGGCTCTGTTTGCAGGGTGACATAATTATATAGAAACTGTAATAATATGACCCCCACCTAAGGGCTCTTTCTTTTTGTTTTCCTTTGCTTGTTTCCTCATTTGAACAAAGAACCTATTTTTTCTTACTCAAAACAATTTTATTTTAGGTATGTAACGGTCACAGAATAGATAACAGTACTTAAAAAAAGCAAAAAAAAAAAACACTTACAACTGCATTCCAGGATTAATGGACTCTCTGTCAACTTTTTCATCAAAGGCTGTTCTTAAATGATTCCAGGAACCATTATCACCAAATGCTCCCCATTCAGTGTTGATAATAACTTCTCGTGGATCTTTATAATCGCCAGTCCACTTTGGTACATTATCCAGGCTCTCCATATAGCAGGCATTTGTTCCAGTTCCTAGAATCAATCCAGCACTGACATCAGGGTTGTTAAATGCACATGACATCATTGTTCCTGTTGTGTCATTGACAAGTGCCACAACATCCACACTTGCATTCTGAAAATTAAAAACAGCAGTTTTCATGTTGAGCTCACTCACTTGCAAAAGTGGGCAGTTGAACCACTGCACAATGGTCACCCTTGAGGTACCTAACACTTTAGAGGCTGCATATTGTTTTGAGGTGAGGGTTTTTGCTCGACATGTATATGGAGACATTCACATGCTCAGTAATGTTAAATAATTATTGATTACAGGCAAATGAAATCAAATTTCTACCATCTGGTAGCCATTCAATTTTATTCTTGGCTTATCATAATAATATTAATGAATAATAAGTTTACAAGAACTCTCATAAGACAGTGATAGCAAATAATCTGTACAAAACTATTTAACCTAGGTTGATTCTCAATTTCCTTTGTCTCCTGTGGCTATTGAGAATCAAATTAGGTTTAATCAAAATTAACCCTAAGTCAAATTTGACCTGTATCATAATCAAGCAGAGCTTCCCTTGAATTTTCTGACATTGTGAATGTCACAACAGCCAGACTTTTATACCAATCTACTAAAGTGGAATCGTATTCATATTTAGCTAGACAATTAATTGTGACCAAAAAACTTACTTTGGTACATTTAAATCAAGAACTCACAGCCTTTACATAATATATAAAGACTCACCACTCCTTTTCTAACAATCGCCTCTCTGAGAAGTTTGACAACATCTTTATTCTCCACACCAGCAGCAGAGAAACCTTTGGTCCACTTAATCAGCAAACCAGAAGTTAATGATAGCTGTTGAACTGGAAATGAAAATGTAAACCCAAGGGGTAAATGTTTAGAACCGACTCCTTGTTTCTTGACAAACAGTGCGATGGAATCAGCGATGTAATCAAAAAGTGTTATAGCATCACTTGTCATCAAAGCTTTATCCAGTGGGTACAATTCACTTTCCATATAAACAGTGCCTTGGTCAATTGTGATCAGAAGCACCCGGAAGTTGCTACCCCCTAAGTCCAGAGCCAAAAAGGATCCTTCTTCTGTTCTATCAGGTATTGCTCGCACATAGGTTGGAAGCATTTTTACTGGACTTTCTGCTCGTACTCGTTCATCGGCTGAGAGGCCTTTAGTAAAGTCACTAACAAGAATGTTGACAATTTNTTTGACAACATCTTTATTCTCTACACCAGCAGCAGAGAAACCTTTGGTCCACTTAATCAGCAAACCTGAAGTTAATGATAGCTGTTGAACTGGAAATGAAAATGTAAACCCAAGGGGTAAATGTTTAGAACCGACTCCTTGTTTCTTGACAAACAGTGCGATGGAATCAGCGATGTAATCAAAAAGTGTTATAGCATCACTTGTCATCAAAGCTTTATCCAGTGGGTACAATTCACTTTCCATATAAACAGTGCCTTGGTCAATTGTGATCAGAAGCACCCGGAAGTTGCTACCCCCTAAGTCCAGAGCCAAAAAGGATCCTTCTTCTGTTCTATCAGGTATTGCTCGCACATAGGTTGGAAGCATTTTTACTGGACTTTCTGCTCGTACTCGTTCATCGGCTGAGAGGCCTTTAGTAAAGTCACTAACAAGAATGTTGACAATTTGCTCAAGGGATTCACGTGATAAGTTGAATGTCTCTAAAACATTAACAATCTGCAAGAAAACAAAAAAGTAAACAGCTATAAAAAGTTGTATATCATTAGATAGGGATTTCTGTCCTTATTTAATGTTTTATGTAGGCATTAATAATTACAGTATTGTAAGGCACATTGAGCTTTGGCAACACGCAATGAGTACATGTTTATCAATATCATTATCATAATTATTATTATTATTATCATTAACGTAATAATAATTTGAACTCCACCATCATTAAAGGATGAAAAAGGAATGTGTTAAAAATGGCAGGGAACGGTAAACCTTGTAAGAAAATAAAAAATCAAAGGAAAAACAAGAGAAAGTGCAAGTTACAAGGGAGGGGAAGTAGCCAGCAAATAACCGTAAATATCTAAGGGAAAGGGTAATATCCCATCACGTTAAATTACCAGTAAGCTTTAGCTTTTGTCAGCCATTAAATGTTATTGAACAAATAAATGTACGATTTTTTAATGATCAAAATTATTAAGAGCTTTCTATACGAAGGGTCTTGAAACCCTTAGCAGGAAAAAAATCTGATACCTTTTTTCTTCCTGTTAAGGCATCGGAAAAGGAAGTTAAAAGGCGATGTGCTAACGGTAGAACTGAAAACATCTTGGATCAAAATTCAGCTATATATCTGCAAGGAATAATCAACAAGAATAAACTTGGATACAATAATATAAATATAATAAGAAAACAACACGGTAATGTTTAACTTCAAAACACATCACCACTCAAAATATTCTCTCCACAGATTAACATCCTTTTTAGTTTACAAAAATCTCAGTTTACATACCCTATGTGAAAATTATGTTACAAGAAATGTGCATATTTGAGGCTCTGTTAGGGTTCTGATGAGCCGTATGGCCGTATGACAAAGACAACCGCATCAGTAAAGTACAGAAGAAAACACGCCTTCCTCCTTTATTATATGCCAAATGACACTGGTTTTGAATTTTCGACTACTGACATACATGCTCCCTTTTAAGGGGGCCTCTGTATTGAAGAAATCAGACCAAGCAGCCTAGGCACTTGAAAAATCTACGTAATTCATGGCCAACTAAGTTGCAAGGCGACTATATGACCATTGGAAATATTCTCATGATCGAGGATCACCCTTCTTGAATGGTATGGACCCAGTATGAGCTCAAGTTAAAAAATATTTTGCAAATGTTACTAACATCAGGACCCTTGATCCTGGCTTCAAAAACAAACAATGAATTGACATTAAATATTGTTGCCTCAATCTATGGGGTTTTGTTCACTGTTGTTTATTAGGCATTCATTTGTTGATAATAATTAAGTCATACTAAGGCTAAGATTAAGTGAAACTTTGCCGCTTTAGGCAATGGGGTCTGAAATAAATGCCTGGGATAATTAAATTAAGATCTTAAATAATAATAAGCTCTCCATACAACTCCATGATGCATGAGCAGAATTCTTGGCGTTTTAATTTTCAAAATTCATCGCATTTCCAAACAAAATTATGCGCGCAATTGAATTCGACTATGTATACATCAACAGAGAAATATTTGCATAATTGTCATTACTAAGTGAGCTTTTACACTATTGTAGTACAACACCGGGAAAAACTTGTTTCAATACTTCAACCTTATAGCACCCTATGTAACAATACACTCAAAATAGTCCCGTACACCAGCAGAGCAAATTCACAGACTGTCAAAGGGCTTACTGATAGCTTGTATTTACAGGTAACGTGGCAGCATAGTGCGTATCACATCGATATCCTGAGATTTGCCTGTTCAGTACAAAATATTAAAGCCTAATAAATGAAGACTTTAACGTGCGAGCGAGCACAGTTAAGACTTTTAGAACTAGCACAAGAACTAATAAGCTTAATTGGGCCATACAGTACTTAAGATCAGCGTACAAAAGACCTACTTACTGAAACGAACTATTTTGTCCTTCTTGGAATAAATATATGAGTCACTCTCTGAGTAGGCTCTAACGTTTTCGAACTAATGACTCTTTCGGTTTGAGCTCAGCGTGCTTGTGTTTTTGGAAGATTACAAATCTATGAAACCCGATAGCTGCAGTTACGAAACGATCTACAGCATTGACGTCTTTCGCGATCCGAGGGTGGAGACTTGACACGAAGAATCTTCGGACGTGTTCGAGTACACCCGTCTAAACCCGGTGGACAAATTGTGTACTCATACATAAAGTAGTCTGCTGCCTCTGTCTCCATTTTCAACATGGCGGACGAGTGATTTGACTGTTTTTGTTTACAATAGAGCAGTAAGTAAGAAGTTGTACTGCAAAATATGAGCGCAAATGAAAAGAATCAGATGCAAGAACAGGTTTCAGGTGTAATTAACAGCTTTTTGAAAAAGAGAAAGTACACAGAGGGTGTAAGTTCATTGAAGGATTTCAC